TTAGGAAAATCTAGAGGTTACATTAGAGGACTCGGACATGGTGCAAAACCTGCCTCAAGCCACTTTGTTCATTTGATATCGGTTGATACTGAGTCAATAGCCCTTCGAGAGAAAATACAGAAGCAGGAACAAGAATTATTAGATATGGATGCCACACCTTCTCAATTTGAGACACTAATGCATAAGGTCGTATCGAGTCAAGTTAACATGTCTCCACAACAATCTGAACCAGCAACATTATTCAGTATGCCACCGCTTGCTGGTAATATATGAATTGTGATTTGTTTATTTATGTGCTTTAAGTGTTGAGACATCTATTTTTCTTTATGGCTTAGTTCGACTTAGTACTTTTTTTTGTAAGTTATTATGTGACCGAAAGTTGAATCGTCTAATGTTTTTTTTTTAAATTTTTTTGAAAATAAATTTTTTTCTAGAAATTTTATAAAGCTTTTATCATAAAAATTTTACTCTAAAAATAATTAAAACTTTAAATAAATTGTATTACATATTAAAATTTAGCCAGACCAAAAAAATAAACACTTGTTATGTGACTAAAAGTTTAATTGTCTAATAGAAGAGCTACATTGTACAACAACATATATTTGAGGGCTTTTGCAACGAGCATTGCACATTGCCGTATCCTTCTAATCTACGGCAATATTAGATCTTGCATTATAGGGTGAATATTGTAAAAAACCTGTTGCAACATTTTTTGTCCATTGCAAAATATTATTTTTCTTGTAGCGATTTATTCCTCTAATTATAGAATTTTTAGCAACAAATATTTTTTATTGCAAAAAGTTGACCATATTGCATCACAAGCAATTTGTTACAATAAATAAAAGTTTATCGCCATAAGTTTCCTACCAAAAATATTTTGGCACATTCCCTCATATTTTTGGCGACATTCTTTATTATTTGTCGCAATTTCTCACATTTCACGACAATTTTTTACGTCGCCTTATATTATTTGGTACTTATTTTTTTAATAACAATATTCGGGACGAACTTTAAAAATATGCCGAGTTAAGTCACTTATTGCGACAACTTTTTTTATGTCG